GAAAAGGCTCGTGATGGGGCTTCTTGCAGTTTTTGATGAACAGAGGTTCCTGGTCTGGCCCTGGGCAGAGTGCATGGGCATGTCATTTTATCGCCTATTCGAAGTCATTTGGCGTCAGGATAAATGGATAGGCTTGTGTTAATCAAATTTTGTGGCTCTCTCATAAAAATTCATTTTGACTTCGACTTCTCAGTCTGGTTAGGGGCTTTTCTAAACGAGTATATTGGGACTTGAGTTCTCACTCATTTCCTTTTCTTCATCTGGTGGACCCATTTTGTTTAAGTAGGGGCCCAAACTGGACGTTGTTTCTGATTTTTATTTGGCATAGGAGAAGAATACTTTGGGTTTTTTCATTTTTTTTTATGGCTTTAGTTTTCCCGCGATTCCTGACCCTAAAGGATTCTTTTAGCTTAGTTCGATGCTTGCTATTTCCGGGCCAGTGTCTCCTGGGATTTCTGATATATTGACCTCTTTTTGCCGCTCTGTTATCTTTTCGTCGCCTGTAAAGGAGCGCCTGTCTCTTTTCTATTTTTACATCTACTCTCCTTTTTTTTGAGGAATAACTTGTGAAAACATCGAGTGCCACCGAGTTAATCTGTTCTAGGCAAAATTTGGGTCTGTGTTGCTTAGTATATCTTCCCAGCTTATATCGGTTAGGACTTGGTTTACTTGGTCCCACTTTATGTTTTTGTTATTGAAGTTGAATTTGGTGAATGCTCCCTCGTGACTAGTCTCATTTTGTCGGTCTGAGGCTCCACGCATACATGTCTGAACCTCAATTATGTTGTGATCTGAGTATATTGTTTTTGATTATGGTGACATTTCTTATCAGATCATCATTGTTAGTGAAGATGAGGTCTAGTGTATTCTCCAGTCTAGTAGGCTCTATTATTTGCTGTTTAAGTTGAATTTTGTGCAGAGATTTAAAAGCTCGTGTGAGTGTGAGTTTTCATCAGAGCTGCCTCCTGGTGTTATTACTGCAACAATATTATTTGCTATATTCCTCCATTTTAGGTGCCTTAAGTTGAAATCCCCCAGGAGCAAGATGTTGGGTGCAGGAGCTGGAAGATTTTCCAGACAGTGGTCAATTTTTAACAGCTGTTCCTGGAATTGCTGGGATGTTGCATCCGGAGGCTTGTAGACTACCACAATGACTAGGTTTTGGTTCTCGACCTTTACTGCTAAAACTTCCACTACGTCATTTGAGGCATTAAGCAGTTCTGTGCAAACAAGTGACTCTGCAATGTACAGGCCAACCCCCCCTTTTGCCTGTTCACTCTGTCACATCTGTATAGGTTGTAACCTGGGATCCATATTTCGTTGTCCAAGTGATCCTTTATGTGGGTCTCAGTGAAAGCCGCGAACATTGCCTTTGCCTCTGCAAGCAGTCCACGGATGAAAGGTATTTTGTTGTTTATTGCTGGCTTTAGACCCTGTATATTTGCAAAGAAGAATGTTATCGGACTGGTGGTATTGTTGTACTGGGGGGGGATTTTTTTTCCGGCATTAGTATCTGTATCTGTTGGTTTGGAGTGGAGGCCATCGACTGTGGTTCCACTCCAGGAAATGACTGGATTTGGTGTACGATTTCTGCCATTTCCTGCCATTTTTTTTTTTCCTTCCTGGCACTAAAAAACCTCCCCCTCTTGAGTGGCTGTGGCTACCCAGGTTTTCCCATGGCCTGGATGTTTTGTATCTTTTGTCCCCTTTAGATGGTATGCCTGGCAATTTAAGTTATAGCACAGTCTTTCCTGTACTGAAGAGGTACACATTTCAGGGTGAAAAAGCTTACAGGAAGGGAGTTTGCATTTTCCTGTTGTCTATGGGCATGACATTTTCTAGGGTGGTCATAGTTGCATGTCCCCTCTGTTTTTTCCAGATTTCCCATGCCAGCAGATACCAAGTGCATAGTATGTGCACAGGCTTGGTTTCCGTTTGCCTTGGGTTTCTGTGACTGTATTCCCTGTTGGTGCATGTTTCCCTGTCTTATTCTATCCTCCCTAGCACCAACAATGGAGCTCCACCAGTTGTTTTTGGTATTTATCCTCACTATTGCTATTGGAGTCCTCTTGTTTGCTATTTCCTGCGGTATTTCTGGTTTGCAATATTGGTTTTATCTTATCTTTGACTACACTTGTTTCCCTACTATGGCTCCTGTCCTCTATGAGGTCATTTATATGTATTCCTTCCTGCGTATAATTCCCGACTACCTGGACAAAATCTCCAGCTTCACCATTACTGTCTACCAGGACAGTATCTCCAGCTTCACCATTTCTGTCTCCCAGGACAGCACCTCCAGCTTCCCCATTACTGTCTCCCAGGACAGTATCTCCAGCTTCACCATTACTGTCTCCCAGGACAGCACCTCCAGCTTCACCATTACTGTCTCCCAGGACAGCACCTCCAGCTTCACCATTACTGTCTCCCAGGACAGCACTATCAGCCCTACATTTACTGACTACCAGGACATCACCTCCAGCCTTACAGTTTGTGACTACATGGCCAGTATCAAGGGCAGTACCATTCAGCCCGGACTTTTTATGTTCCCATCTGTTGTAGAAAGCTGGGATACAAGTATATGTTCCCAACACTGGTCTTCACTACTTTATAATCGGAAAATTCAGTGTCATTTAACACTGACGTAAATTCCTGTGCCTTACCAAACAATGCTGTGTGAACCAACGATGTCCAATGCTGTTCCGGCCACCTAAAGGCTCGAGCCTGATCTTCGAAAGCTTCGAAAAATTGTTCTGGTTCGGCCTCATTGAAGCGGGGAACAAGCTGTTTACCTGGAGAGAGTTTCGGGGGTCAACGCCCCCGCGGCCCGGTCTGTGACCAGGCCTCCTGGTGGATCAGCGCCTGATCAACCAGGCTGTTGCTGCTGGCTGCACGCAAACCAACGTACGAGCCACAGCCCGGCTGATCAGGAACTGACTTTAGGTGCTTGTCCAGTGCCAGCTTGAAGACTGCCAGGGGTCTGTTGGTAATCCCCCTTATGTGTGCTGGGAGGCAGTTGAACAGTCTCGGGCCCCTGACACTTATTGCTTTCTATAAACTAAAGTCTTTTACAGAATGCGAAAACTGCCTCCTTTCTTTTTCTCTATCAAATTCTTTTGCAAATGGTCTGTTCCCTAGTCTGCTCAAGATTGATTTTTGCCAGCTCAAGTGCCAACGCCGCTGATTCACCTTGAGACAACCCTGCTGCACTATACTGACGATTTTGCTCCGTTGATATATCATCTTCCTCCTGCGAGAACATAGGAGTTTTGTTCCTAGCTCCCGTAGAGGGAGGAGTCTGATGTGCCATTTCTTCTCTAAGTTTGTCAGTGATCAGTGAACGCAGTTGCGCAGCTGTGAAAATGCGTTCATAATCATTGCCAATGGAACGAGCAATTTGCCAACAACGCTGTAGGGACAATTTAGGTAGGTTAAACAAAGTATATGCCGACACCAGTCTTCTGACTCGTCTAGGTGGCATACCACAATGTAAAAGTTATTTGTTATGCGCAGTAAGATTGCATAATACCCCAACGTAACACGTTATTTGCAGAACACTCTTAGCTATGCACAGTACGATTGCAGAATACGCATACAAGGTGGATACGCAATAGCAAAGCTGACTGCAAAATCTTCACATCGAACAGGCTAGTAGCGAGCTGTTGAACGATCACACAATAGGAAGGCTGACCATAGCAAAGCAATTGACACGCAAAGTTTGTAAAGCGTTGGCAAAGCTAATACAATGCCAGACAGCAAGCTACACTGTACAAAGGAGGATGACAAAGATGATCCCATGTATCAGAAATCTTCCCTATGAGGATAGACTGAGGCCCTGAATCTGCACTCTCTAGAAAGGCGTAGAATTAGGGGTGATATGATCGAGATGTATAAATGGAAAACAGAAATAAAGGGGATGTAAATAGTGTTAGTTTAATATGTTTATTATGCACCCCATACCCATCCTGTGGGCGGTAGTCAAAAGATTACAGAGATACATAATGGGTCCAGGGACCGGGCCTCAAAGTTTTGATAGCTGAGCAAGTTACAGAGGTAATGAATTCACAATTTACAAAGGTTATGAACTCACAATTTACAAAGGTAATGAACTCCAGGTAGGTCTAGTCACAATCATGACAAGTTACGAAGGTATTTACAGATTACAGAGGTACATAATGGGTCCAGGGACTGGGCCCCAAAGTTTTGAACTATTTCCAGCCAAGACAGGACTCGTAGCAATGGTTTTAAGTTAGAAAAATTCAGATTCAGGAAGGATATAGGAAAGTGCTGGTTTGGTAATAGAGTTGTAGATGAGTGGAACAAACTTCCGAGTACAGTTATAGAGGTTAAAACGTTGTGTAGTTTTAAAAATAGGTTAGATAAATACATGAGTGGGTGAGGGTGGGTGTGAGTTGGACCTGACTAGCTTGTGCAACTAGGTCAGATACCGTGCTCCTTCCTTAAGTGAATGTGACCTGACCTAACTAGGTTAGGGCATTGGCTTAAGCCGGGGAGTTAGTTTAATATGTTTACTATGCACCCCATACCCATCCTGTGGGCGGTAGTCAAAAGATTACAGAGGTACATAATTGGTCCAGGGACTGGACTCCAAAGTTTTGATAGCTGAGCAAGTTACAGAGGTTAAGCCGGGGAGAGACTTGGACCTGCCTCGCATGGGCCAGTAGGCCTGCTGCAGTGTTCCTTCTTATGGTCCTTGTAATACCTTATTATTAAAATATTAAAAGGAGATATATTAGGAATAAGGTAAACTGAGTCATTTACATTAACATCAACAAGAGGATGTAAGAATTACAATGCAAATATAAGTATTTAAGTCTTAAATAATAATATACTACAAGGACTCCAATGGAAATAAGTCACTTTGACTTTTTTGGGTTATTCTATGTAATTTATGCTATGTATGATAATTGTAATCATATGTATCTATGCCTAAATAAAGTTACTAAGTTACATACTAGAAAATAACTAAGTTAGAGGTTAAAATAGAGAAAATAGAAGACGTTCCTGGAGGACCTGAGAGGCTCAGCTGATGCTGTTTGCTGCTCATTTACACTGCTTTTCCTGAGCTGTGAGACACATCCCTGCTGTTTAACACCGCTGCTGTGCCACACTGGGGTATGCTGTGCCACCTGGGTGATGTTATATTAAAGGAATTTCAGTAATATGGATTTTTGGGGGGGTTATTTAGGGCAGGTTTGGGGGTCTGGGGATGACCATGCTGGCGGTCGTATGATACTCACATTTCTTTACTGTTTTTTCACTTTATTTTACATTATTTGTATTAAAATCACATGGATTGGTAGCCTGGGAAATGGTTTTTGAGATGGGGTAAGTGGGGGAGAAATGGGGAATGGGATAATGGGTTAAATAAAGGGGAACGTTGGTAAAGGTGACGCAAACGCAGTTACCTTGAGTAAGTGTCCCGTTGTAAGTGGTGTAAGTTATAAGTAGGTTTATGGTCAGTACTCAGTGTTGTGTACTCTAGTGCACAGTGTTTTGTACTCTAGTGCACAGTGTTGTGTACTCTAGTGCACAGTGGTTACTCTCAGTGATGGACCACACCAGTGTAAGGACCATCACCACCATACTTTTTGACCTTGATAATACATTACTCTACACAAGGGAACTTGATTGTGCAACTTGTACTGAGGTAGGTACATAATTATTGTACTGAGGTAGGTACATAATTACTTGTACTGAGGTAGGTACATAATTATTGTACTGAGGTAGGTCCATAATTATTGTACTGAGGTAGGTACATAATTATTGTACTGAGGTAGGTACATAATTATTGTACTGAGGTAGGTACATAACTACTTGTACTGAGGTAGGTACATAATTACTTGTACTGAGGTAGGTACATAATTATTGTACTGAGGTAGGTACATAACTACTTGTACTGAGGTAGGTACATAATTACTTGTACTGAGGTAGGAACATAATTATTGTACTGAGGTAGGTACATAATTATTGTACTGAGGTAGGTACATAATTATTGTACTGAGGTAGGTACATAATTATTGTACTGAGGTAGGTACATAATTACATGTACTGAGGTAGGTACATAATTATTGTACTGAGGTAGGTACATAATTATTGTACTGAGGTAGGTACATAATTACTTGTACTGAGGTAGGTACATAATTACTTGTACTGAGGTAGGTACATAATTACTTGTACTGAGGTAGGTACATAATTATTGTACTGAGGTAGGTACATAATTACTTGTACTGAGGTAGGTACATAATTACTTGTACTGAGGTAGGTACATAATTATTGTACTGAGGTAGGTACATAATTATTGTACTGAGGTAGGTACATAATTACTTGTACTGAGGTAGGTACATAATTATTGTACTGAGGTAGGTACATAATTATTGTACTGAGGTAGGTACATAATTATTGTACTGAGGTAGGTACATAATTATTGTACTGAGGTAGGTACATAATTATTGTACTGAGGTAGGTACATAATTTACTTGTACTGAGGTAGGTACATAATTACTTGTACTGAGGTAGGTACATAATTACTTGTACTGAGGTAGGTACATAATTACTTGTACTGAGGTAGGTACATAATTACTTGTACTGAGGTAGGTACATAATTACTTGTACTGAGGTAGGTACATAATTACTTGTACTGAGGTAGGTACATAATTACTTGTACTGAGGTAGGTACATAATTACTTGTACTGAGGTAGGTATATAATTACTTGTACTGAGGTAGGTACATAATTATTGTACTGAGGTAGGTACATAATTACTTGTACTGACGTAGGTACATAATTACTTGTACTGAGGTAGGTACATAATTACTTGTACTGAGGTAGGTATATAATTACTTGTACTGAGGTAGGTACATAATTATTGTACTGAGGTAGGTACATAATTATTGTACTGAGGTAGGTACATAATTATTGTACTGAGGTAGGTACATAATTATTGTACTGAGGTAGGTACATAATTACTTGTACTGAGGTAGGTACATAATTACTTGTACTGAGGTAGGTACATAATTACTTGTACTGAGGTAGGTACATAATTACTTGTACTGAGATAGGTACATAATTACTTGTACTGAGGTAGGTACATAATTACTTGTACTGAAGTAGGTACATAATTTCTTGTACTGAGGTAGGTACATAATTATTGTACTGAGGTAGGTACATAATTACTTGTACTGAGGTAGGTACATAATTACTTGTACTGAGGTAGGTACATAATTACTTGTACTGAGGTAGGTACATAATTACTTGTACTGAGGTAGGTACATAATTACTTGTACTGAGGTAGGTACATAATTACTTGTACTGAGGTAGGTACATAATTACTTGTACTGAGGTAGGTACATAATTACTTGTACTGAGGTAGTACATAATTACTTGTACTGAGGTAGGTACATAATTACTTGTACTGAGGTAGGTACATAATTACTTGTACTGAGGTAGGTACATAATTACTTGTACTGAGGTAGGTACATAATTACTTGTACTGAGGTAGGTACATAATTACTTGTACTGAGGTAGGTACATAATTGTACTGAGGTAGGTACATAGTTACTTGTACTGAGGTAGGAACATATTCACTTAACTTGTACTGAGGTAGGAACATATTTACTTGTACTGAGGTAGGAACATATTTACTTATACTGAGGTAGGAACATATTTACTTGTACTGAGGTAGGAACATATTTACTTAACTTGATTTAGGCACAAGTACATATAAGTATAGTTATATCTGGAGTTTACCTGGAGAGAGTTCTGGGGGTCAACGCCCCCGCGGCCCAGTCTGTGACCAGGCCTCCTGGTGGATCAGAGCCTGATCAACCAGGCTGTTACTGCTGGCTGCACGCAAACCAACGTACGAGCCACAGCCCAGCTGATCAGGAACCGACTTTAGGTGCTTGTCCAGTGCCAGCTTGAAGACTGCCAGGGATCTGTTGGTAATCCCCCTTATGTATGCTGGTAATATATCTGTAAATTATCCAGGATAACACAGAAATATCTGGAAAAGTTATTTCCATTGGGATCCTTGAGTTACTTCCGTTGGGATCCCTGAGTTATTTCCATTGGGACTCTTGAATTATTTCCATTTTGATCCTTGAATTATTTCCATTGGGGTTCCTACCACCAATGGAAATAAGTCTGACCTTTTTTTGTGTGTTATCCTGGGTAATTTACAAATATGTTACAAGGTATAATTGTACTTGTGCCTAATTAAATTCACCACCTTATTTGCTTTTAGTATCAGCTAAAAAACTGCAGTAAGTTATATTTGTTCAAGTTATAGGAATGTAAGAACAAAGGAACACTGAATAGGCCTACTGGCCCATAATAGGCCTACTGGGCCATAATAGGCCTAATGGCTGGTGACTTTCTTTGTGCTTTAAAAATACTTAATGACATGTAAACTACAGTTTGTGTACTACACAAAGAAAAAAAATTGATTTTAATTACAACGAGCCCAGTGGAAATAAGTCACTTTGACTTTTTTGGGCTATCCTGGTGGGCAATTTACACATTTTTATGTATGATAATTGTAATTACCCAAATTTGTGTAACTATACTTATGTGTACCTGAGCCTAAATAAACTTCTAGCTTCTATTTGGCAAATTGTTACAGTTGCTTATGGCATTTTTATTTCTAATCTGATACTTTCCTATATCCTTTCTAAATTTAAATTCCTGAACTTAATTTATTGTTTACAATTCTTATATAGTAATCCCCCTGTATCCGTGGGGATACATTCCAAAACCTAACATGGATACCCAAAACAACGGATAGCGGGAAACCCTATACATATACAGTGGACCCCCGTTTAACGATATTTTTTCACTCCAGAAGTATGTTCAGGTGCCAGTACTGACCGAATTTGTTCCCATAAGGAATATTGTGAAGTAGATTAGTCCATTTCAGACCCCCAAACATACACGTACAAACGCACTTACATAAATACACTTACATAACTGGTCGCATTCGGAGGTGATCGTTATGCGGGGGTCCACTGTATATCATTTTTTGTTTAAATACATATCTTTGATGAAATGAATTAAAATTGAGACATGAGCAACATCTGGGTATCTTTATTATAGACATTTCGCCATCCAGTGGCTTTATCAGTACAGATTCTAGGAGATTACTTGAAGACAGTAGAACTATGTACAAAAGATGAAGTAATCAGTCCCTCAGTATTGGGGTTGGTGTGAAGAGTAAGTTTGTTCAAGTATACACAAATACAATCACATAGATTATTATACATAGCAGCATATGTGTAGAGAACCTGGGATAACAAAAAAAAAGTCAGATAAAGTGATTTATTTCCATTGGGGTCCTTTGAGCACCGTAGTCGTGAAGATTCTGGAGCAGAGGCAAGGTGGCTGGCACTTATACGTATATACTAGCATCAGGTGGAAAGGGATGGGTAGCAGACAAGGGCATAGTCACACACACCTATGATAAAGTTAATTAATATATTACGCACAATAAGTCGAGAATTAGCAATTTTTCACCGATGAGAAGCACTTCACTGTTTCTTGTAGGCTTTTAAAAACTGCCGCTATCACTACTTTTACAGTTTGGGGTCGCTAGTAAGAAAAATTAAGGGTTATTCTTGGGCCACAGTAAGCTGTGGATAACTGAAACTACGGAAACCGAATCTCCAGATACGGGTTCTACTGTACGGACTTTGTTATATATCTTCTCGTACATTTCAATTGTATCTCCTTGCATGCTTTGTCTTTAAAGAGAGTGTAAGTTTAAGGTTCTCATTCTATATATTGTAAGTTTAAGGTTCTCATTCTATATATTCACCAAAAACCCACACTTAGAATTACTTGTAATAATGTTGGTAGAATTACCAACAATATGTTAGGTAAAAGGACACAAGTGCAACTGTGACATTTTATTGTGGCAACGTTTCGCTCTCCAGGAGCTTTGTCAAGTTATGGCTTGAGCAAAATGTTGCCACAGTACAATGTCATATTAATTCCACTTGTGTCCTTTTATCTAACTTAGAATGGCATTTTGGGACATCCTGGATTGAAATGCCATCCTAATGTTCCTCTCCAAGGTGTGAATTTCTGGTGAATTGTTTCAGCTATGGTATTGTGACTTTTTATTCTTTCTATTCTATAAATGAAAACTGACGGATGATACAGTAAATTAATTCTTATCTTGAGATTGTCAAAAGCCTCGCTGAGGTCCAGGTAGGTGATGTATTCTTTATCTCCAAGGCCACATATTCTTTATTGTATTGTGAAGGTGAACATATTCATTATTGTGGAGGCAGCATATTCTTTATCATTGAGGTATCATATTTTTTATCGTGGCGGTGATATTTTTTAATAGTGGAGGCGACATTCTTTATCATGGAGGTGACATATTCTTTAATGTAGGGGTGATGCATTTTTTATCGTGGAGGTGGCATATTCTTTATCATGGACTATTGCCTCAAATACTTTACTTGTGAAAGTCACTAAGTTTGTTGGTGAAGAACAGGCGCTTGTGAATTCACGTGGAAACTCATGGAATACAGCGCATTATGCAGTTAGGGTGATTGACATACAGTTTACCCCCGGTTTACGATCAGCTCCCAATGCAACCATTTATGTAAGTGTATTTATGTAAGTGCATTTATGTAAGTGCGTTTGT